ACATGGTTGCTAAATACCACTTGCAGTAGCACTCAATTCCTGGCCAACAGATGAACGATGAGGCCCATATTAAACCTACCCACATTAGTACCATCAATTGGAAATCACCATTATGGTGGTTATGAGAAGATAATTAAAATAAAGCAAGTTACTAACAGATCCCATCAAGTTTGACCTTGAATAATTAGGTTTCAAATGCATAGGAAGGCCACTAATAACATGCTACCATGAAAGCAGACATTCAGATGTTTTTCTTGCAGGCAGAACTGAAAGGAAACACGGTGCTTTTCCAGTGTCTTTAATTTTCAATATGGAGTCTATGATGAGCTGTTAATAATCATATACAATTGCTATCAGGGGTTTGCACCTATTTACATATAAATAGTTCTGACCTGATTTGGCTACCAACAACACTTAATTTAATTTATTGTCCTTTGGCAAGTGAATAGTCATTGGTTTTCTAGTACTTTTAACCTTGGCAAACCCTTGGGAAATAAAAATTAGATTGAAAGAAAATTACTAGTGGTGGAGAACAGTAAGGAAGTGACAGTGGTATATATAAACCTCAGGCAGCAGTGGAATAAAGTGTCATATTATTGTACGCTGTCTTCCAAAGTTCAATATTACTTTCTTGATTTACACTTCTGTAATTTTTTCCCAGTAATTCTTTTTGCTTTGGGGACTTCTGCACCTAACTTCATGTTTTTCAGCTGGGAAGAGGGATTAACCTATTTAGCATCTAAAAGAAATAAAAATCTATCTGAATTCATAAAAATAAAGCAGTGTTATGCAGCCAACAACAACTAAATCAGGGGACAGTTATTAACCACTAATGACCAAATATTAGAGTAAGATTATTTGATCATCACTCTTATACCACTGTATGATAACACACTTGAGGCACCATGTTTCACCGTCTGGAGTCTAGAGTGAATACAAAGCCCAGAAGCACTGCTTTCCTCCCCCAACACATACAGCTGTCTCCTGACTTTCACTTCACATGTAAAGTGCTCAACTGAGTGCACACATGATGAGTCACTATTGACATTATTATTGTAATGAAGTCTAGATAATGAAGATCAGGAGTGCAGTAATGGGAACTGACACCTTTGGAGTTTCTGGGAATAATGCCCCATGAGTTAAACATAAGCAGCACAGGCTTCAGGAAGTGCATGTGCCTTCCCACGCTTGTTCCTCTCCTGGAACTGACATGCAGCTTTGTGGGATCTCACAGAAGGATGTGAGCCACCTCTTACCCTTACAACACTGCCTCTGGGCAGAACTACAGGAGATACAGGGTACAGATAGTTGCAGAATAGATTTCATGGACTTCTTTATTGCTCCTGGGTTCCTAGAAATTGTAGATGTGCAGAGTTCTTGTCTGCTCTTATATATACTCTTGACTTCGACTTCAGCATCTTCTAACACACACAGGCTGGTAAAATAGTAAGATCAATCATATACATGGAGTATCAACACGGTCAATATTTGGTTTCTGGTTTACGCTGGTGAAATTTGGCATTTTTATATATGAGGCTATGTCACACTGCAGAAACAAAACATCCAAGATAACGATTCAAACACACAAAACTGTAACCTTCATACCAAGTGAAAAGTGTAAATGCACAATACGAACTAAAATTAAGGAAAACAGAAGTCCCCGAGAGACTCAAGTGAGTAAATGCTTTCTCAGCAGTCTTCTTTAAAAAGGGAAAGTTATGTGCAGTTCATCCCTCGCATAAACTCTCCACATATCTATTTACACTGCAAAAATCCAATAAAAACCATTTCTGCAATTAAAATACTGCACAGCATCAGTTACGTGAGAGCATCTGGGCAGGAACAACCCCAGGTTCCAGTATAGATTGGGGAACGACCTGTTAGAGAGCAGTGTAGGGGAGAGGGACCTGGGGGTCCTAGTGGACGACAGGATGACCATGAGCCGACACTGTGCCCTTGTGGCCAAGAAGGCCAATGGCATCCTGGGGTGTATTAGAAGGGGGGTGGTTAGTAGGTCGAGAGAGGTCCTCCTTCCCCTCTACTCAGCCCTGGTGAGACCGCATCTGGAATACTGTGTCCAGTTCTGGGCCCCTCAGTTTAAGGACAGGGACCTGCTGGAGAGAGTCCAGCGCAGGGCAACTAAGATGATTAAGGGAGTGGAGCATCTCCCTTATGAGGAAAGACTGAGGGAGCTGGGTCTCTATAGTTTGGAGAAGAGGAGATTGAGGGGTGACCTTATTAGTGTATATAAATATATAAAGGGGGAGTGTCACGAGGATGGAGCCAGGCTCTTCTCAGTGGCAAACAATGGAAGGACAAGGGGAAATGGGTACAAACTGGAACACAAGAGGTTCCACTTAAACCTGAGAAGAAACTTCTTCTCAGTGAGGGTGATGGAACATTGGAACAGGCTGCCCAGGGAGGTTGTGGAATCTCCTTCTTTGGAGACCTTCAAAACCCGCCTGGACACGTTCCTGTGTAACCTTATCTAGGTGTTCCTGCTCCGGCAGGGGGATTGGACTAGATGATCTTTTGAGGTCCCTTCCAATCTCTAACATACTGTGATACTGTGATCATGCTTACTTTTTATCTGGGGCCACCTACAGGTGCAAGTAAATAATCAAGACTGGAAATGATGACAGATAATGCCAGGAAAATCTCAATAAAATTATGTTGCAATGGCTGCACTGTGCATTAAAATGAAGCCAAAAGACATCTATTACACCATGGTTAAAAGAGATACACCAATGATTGCAGTACTACCAATGCTGTTCATTTAAAAGTATATTTTTCAAAGAGGAAGTAGGAAAAAAAAAAACATTTTTAGATAAAGGATAGCTATGAACATTTTCATAACTTGTGTACTGCTACCTGCACAGTCTATGAGGCAGAAAATATTGTTTAATAAGATGCCAGAATGACATTACTTGTCAACTTCTGGTGTTACAACCATCTTCTGAGTGCACGTTGCATTCAAAGGGGTCCTTTTAGGATCCTTTGTGTTTTCCAGTTGTGCACTATTTCAATGCACTTTCCAGTAACCTCACTGTGTTAAGTGCGCTGGGAGTTTTCAGCTTCTCTGTGATTCCCCTGTGAAGAAACAAAACTAGAAAACATAGTTAGCTATGCAGATTCCAAAGTGATTGATCTGAGAAGCCCCTAACGAGCTTGCTTTTTCATCAGGCACCAAACTCCCTGATGAATCCAGCCCTGAATGACATCTTAAGTGAGCAGTTCAGCACAAGGCAGTTTTGAAAACAGAAGCCTATACAGAAATGTAAAAATAGAAATAACCACTAACACTGTGGGTTTGTTTGTTGCTTTAGAAGACACTGAACAACATTTATTGCTCTATTGCTACAACAAATACTTTGGGGAAAAAAAATAAGGTTTGGGTACTGCTGACAGCTTGCATGTGCATGAAACCACTGCACAATTAGTTTTCTGGAATCAAAAATGAATTACTTTACATAGGAAGGAAGTTAGAAGCAGTGTCTGGCACTTTATGAAGTTCTGTTGCCAGAGCCAAACTTTCTAAGATGGACAATATACCACAGATGTGTACTTAACTGTGACCCTCATGCACAGACATACAGGTGTATTTTAAGAGGGAACCAAGTGCTTGACTTGGTTCACTCTGGCCACAGCTGCTGGTGAAGCCGAAACAGCTTTCCTGTGATTCAGGAAAACTTTGCAGTCAGCTCTTGCTGTGGAACTGGTTCAAATTCTTTGCCATGGAATTTCTCTGCCATCTCTGACATTCATTTCTCATAAAACGGATGTGGTTCTGGCCAAGGTATTTAATCTCGTCCTGTACTTACAAATCACTTACAAACACTGCAAGGTAAATGTCCTGACAGATGACAACTTAACATCTCAAGGTGTTTTTTCCTCCCTCTTCAGAGATTCCTCATGCCTTTCTTGAGCACTTGTCAAACACATGACTAAAGTACATGCATACATCTTTAACTGCATAGCAGCTAAAATTTATGGCACACATCAATAGGTCCCACTGGACTTATGCAACAATGCGTATAACCTTACCCATTAGATCACACATCTACCTAGGACTGTTCAACGTGAATGTCAACAAAACCTATAAATCCTCATGCTACATCTAAAGTGGAGATCTTATAGGACCAATTTAAATTGCACTTTGGTGATCAACATCAATGAAATGATTAACGTACAAAATTATGAGCCTCATAACCAGCATTCCTACTTCTCTCCATGTCTTCAAAACATCCCGCTCCCAAGCCACCAGCCCTCTTTACAGTCTTAAGTGTTCTGAGCCTCTTTTCCCTGTATCTTTGGCTCTGCTTTGCACCTTCTCTTTTTTTAACTCTGATCCACTAATGAGTCCCTCTTAGTTATTTCCAAACCCCTCAATCTCTGTATATGAAAAAAATGTTCTACATGTAATATCTCATAATAATCTGCTCAGTAAAGTTCCAGCTAATTCCCAAATTACTTTTTCTGGAGTGCTTAAATGTGTATTGTGGAGTACTTACACCTGAAAGGAGAGAAGAATGTGCTGAGAGAAGCTCTTATTCAAAATCCCAGGAATGTCAGTTGTCTTTTCCTTGCTAACTATGGAGATTAGAAAAACACCATTCTGCACAGTGTCTTGGAGACTATGTGAACTTCACAAACATGGTAGCAGGCTCAGGAAATGGGAAGTCCTGAAATTCTTATGCCAGTACTTTTTAACTAGAACATTTTTATGCCAGAAGTGTGTTACCAGCAATGCATTTTTATTCCACAAGAGATTTTTGTTTAAAAACAGAAAATCAATAACCATTGTGCAAGAAAATAAATTCCATTTTCAGCTTGGAAACAATTTCCTTTTCTGCACTTTCCCAAAACCGTATTTTGCTCCTCAGTCACCTTCAGAGAATCACTTCCAAAAATACTTCTACATTCCTGATGTTAAAAGCACAAATCTACTATAAGTACTTGTTCAAAGGAGCCAGTATTATGTACCTCAACATGATCCTTACTGGTTTGTCCTAGGTGTTGTCAGCTATTTTAGCAGAGGTTGAGTCACTGTGTGAAATGCAAATGCCGTTTCATTCCACATCAGTAGTGATTCACCCTGAAATTTATAAGAATTTGGCAAGCTACTATTTTATGCATTAGGTACTTAGGCTATTTGCTTCAATAATACAGCATCACTTTATCACTTAACTTCAAAGTGATTAAAAGTCTATAAAGTAAGAAAATATTAACAGTTTGCATTTTACTGATGGAAGCTGTGAGAGAGATCTCATCCCACGAGATATTTAGGGGAGATGCAAGTATTTCACCAGGAGGAAATGGGGAGCAGTGGAACATGTGACTTTCAATGAAATCAAATGCAAACAAAGCACCAAGACCTTTGAAAGCTGAACTGATGCAGCTTGAGCTCTTCAGGTAATTTTGCACATTTTCAAACACATCCTAAGAAGATGGACTATGCCCACACTCCAAAGTCACAACTCAGCACAGAATAACTTGCTCTGCTTCTCAGCAGGCCAGATCAGATTCTGGTATTGTGCTGCTGCAAATTTACTATGCCCAGCATCCAAACAGGTTTACTCTAAATCCAGCTTGGCAGTATCAACACTGTAGTCAAAGCGTTGCTTTGGTACAGGTACAGGTGTATCCAAACGGTAAAATTTGTCCAGTTCTTGTGTTAGCACTGAATGAACATCTGCCATTTGAACGATTTTTGACTAAAAACTTAATTTCCAGTGAAACAACAGTTTTTCAGAAAATAATGGATTTCAATATCAAGAAAGTCTTCTTTTGGAAAATCAAATTGCATTCTTCCAGCTGAAGCTGTATGGTAGTGACATATTGAACTGAACCAATATTCTTAGTTCACAGTCAGCAAGTGAAACAAACATAAACCTACAGGAACAACATGTAATGTGCTACTCTGGACAAGGGAATTTACATACTAAACTAACTTAGAAGAGTAACATTGAATTTAATTTTAAATAATAAAATTTTGCTTGAATAGCAAATACTGCCAAGTACAAATCTATTTTTAAAAGTTCACATTATATTAGGATTTTTTTTTTTTTCAAACTATTTGGGCTGAAAAGAAACATTAAATGTTGACATTTTCCCCAGAAAAGAAATCGTAAATTACGAAACTCTGGCAGATTTAGACCAGTCCCTTTTTGAAAAGGAATTCTGGAGTTCAATCCTACTGAAAGTAGCTCAGATAACCTTCTGGAGGCCTGTACCACTTTGGAAAATGGGGTAAAAGCTCCTATCCAACCTAGACATTTTCTAAATGCTTACTGTTTGTGCCCAGTGTGTTAGTTATTCAAACCAGGACAAAGTGAACCAGTAAAACCAGGCTTCTTGTCACACCTCTGTTCTGAAATCACTATTTGCTCATGCCTATCCTCTTTAGGACTGCATGGCCATGACTTCACTCCTTTTCACTGGAAAAAGTGGTAACACAACAGCAAAAGTAAATATGTATCAATTTTCCATTTCAAAACCAGCAAAACCAATTCCTTAGAAGACAGCAGTCATGTTATTAGTTTGGCTTTGATATAAGTGGCATGAGCCACAGCAGCTTCCAAATAGAAGGTTTACTACAAATTGGGATCTGAATGGAAAGAATTAAATGGCAGACAGAGAGGATTATGAGTCTGTGACTGTATTCTGACATATATTGGATTATTAGGATTTGCATTCATTAGGAAAGTTAGACAGGCATTTCCATGAGTGCTGTGGATGTATTGTGCAGTTCATGAAAGTTCTGTAGTTAATATGAGAAGGTAATTATGACTTTTTCTGATTAAAAGCAGTAGGTTTTGCAGACTTTGACATTGCTTGTAGTTTGTTATGCCAAACATGGCTCTAATCCTCCACAGAGCCTCTGTGCCCATATGAAACTGGTAGGTTTTAACTGATGTAGGAGCCTGTCTGCACTGTGTTTTGTAGCAACTAGCCCCTAGGGTAGCTAACAGTTTTCATAAAATATACTGAGGGTTAAATCTGAGTTTCAGCTAAAATCTTGTGTAAAGTACAATTCATATTGAGGTGTATGCAGTACACTGCAGTAATGACAGGCAAAGTTATGAGCTGGAGATGAGATCTGCAGTTTGCGACAATTAGTTAACTTAGTGACTCAATAAATCAGAATCTGTAAGAGAAAAGAAGTGCCTTACTCTTTATCTATTAATTTGTTACCTAAATATTTGGATAGACAATGAAGGTTACTCAAACGACTCCTAAAGTCCTTGCCTATTGCCATCCTTGGCTACTCAAATGACTCCCAAACTCCTTGTCTATAGCCATCTTAAATCTTGACTGGCACATAACAGAATTCAACATTGTCTTAGAAACTCAAATATGATAGTCTTCAAATTAAGCTCTGATGACAATCATTTATAGCCTTTAAAAGTCTCATCCCCACTGCAAGCAGCATGGCAGGCAGGTAGACTCAAGAGTTCCTCCAAGAAACATGAACCACTTCCTCAGTAAAAGCTCTGCTCTGCCACAGTGCTGGAGCTGGGCCAACTGTGATGCTGTTGAAACTGACAGGTAATAGCACAACATAGGGTGAAAAGAAAGGAAGGGGAAAAAGGAGAGCTAAAGCCAAGCTCTGGAGAAGGCTGAACACAGAGGATTATACTACTAAATGCATTTTCATGACAGGTGAATAATGAGCTCTTATTGGTGAGATGCTGCTCATTAAACTTTGACATTTAAAAGGATTTATGAAGGCTTATTACTAGGGGCTGCATTTACAGAGTCTACATGGGTCTGCACTCCACCAGCGCATCTCCTGGTGTTGACATTTTCTTTCTTTTCTCTCAGAGTAAGTAAAAAAATAAAGTAATAGAACCCCCTATTTGCTTTTCAGAGCTGAAGGAGTAATTAACTGTGGGAGCAAGAGGCAAGAAGGAAGAGACCTCAGACTTAAGGTATTTGGTTGCAGATAGAAGCAAAACTATTATCAGTATTAATAGAGATCAGAAGTCTCAATATAAAGGTATTAAAAATGCACACAATATTGATCAACAGGCTTACCATAATTATGTAGTAGAAGCTGATTCAGCTGACTGTGTTTTCAGACTTTCTGGGGGATGTATCTCCCAGCTCATGAAATACAGTCTCATGCTATGAATAGTGACTGACACCTTCATTTTAGTAATTTGCCACGGTAAACTGACATTCTATTAGAGCTCAGTAGAAGATACATTGAAATTAATGGGGGAGACTCTTTTGCTTCCAGCAGGCTCTGGATAAACTAATAAGTTTTATTTCTGATTCAATGGCAGCAGACCCTTTTAAAACCACAGTGGCTTCAAAATTTTCACAAATGAAAATGAGTGGGAGCTCTGCATGAGTCCGATGTGGGCTTTTGAACACTCCCTTATAATTACACAAACACTTGTCAGGGTGGAAAGTCAAGAGAGAAGATGCTTCACCTGTGCTATGATACATCCCCCTCAGATCAGTTTACTCTCTTTTGTTCCATTCCCTTTCCTTTTTGAGTCCCGTTTCTCAATCAACCATTTTCTCCAGTCCTTCCTCCCATCTTAATCTTCCTGTCAAGCTATTTGCTACTGTTTCCAGCAGTAGATTCAGGAGCTATTCCCAGTTCCTAGACTTCTTTCCAGTCTGTTCAGCTCTCCTGATGTGGCATTAGCTAATCTGATTTTGATCAGCATCAGAAAATTACGTCAGATGATCAGGGACCTGAGTAAGCTGCAGAGGCTCTCCAACCTCTTCCCATTCCCTGGGGTTTGGCTGCTTGTGCTCTGAACCCACTTGGATGTGGTGCAGCTGGATAACTTTGGATCTGACTGCTGTGTGAAGAGCTGTGGGTGAAGGCTGTTAAGAAGCTTTCACATCAGAGGTGTCTCTGGCTTTGCTTGGCAGCTGCATTTAAGTGACGTACCTAACCAGTCTCAGCCCTGGCTTGCTGACTGAATGTCCCAGCTTGACCTTACCCTGCCTCATCACCTCTGGACTGCAACAGGTCCTGGCACCATCACCAGACCTGCTTTGCTCAACTTGCTTGGGTACTGTGGGACACCACCCTTGTGGGTGAGGACTCTGTTTCTGCCTGTCTGGCACATGCAGGCTCACCTGCCCCAGCCAAGCAGCTTGCCCAGGCAGTTTGAGCACCGCTGGCTCTAGAGGAAAGGAAAAGCTCAACATTCAGATCATGTTCAGGAAATTTAGCAGCTAAACAGTGTTCAGTGCTTTGTTTGCATTTGATTTCATTGGAAGAAGACTGTACATTTATCAAAGGCTTGTGACCGAATTCAGACACTCAGCAAAAGGAACATCCCTAATAGCCATTCAGCCTTTCAAGCCCACATCCCAGGGAGTAAGGTAGCCAGAAAGCAGATATGCCAACAGAACTTTTCAAGAATGCCAAACGCTACACTTCACTTTCCAGTTCCATTTTTGTGTCTTACCAGCAACGACTAAATATAAAATAAAATAAATAAACCAAAACAAACCTACGATTTGTGTAATTTTCCATTCCTATGGGGTTCACATCCCTGTCTACAGGTACTATAGTTACTATAGGTACTCTTTCTTTATAGAGTCATCAGCCAGACTTTTGCTCTCTTTTATAATGCAGATACGTGGTCCTGAAGGTGACAGCTTCTGATCTGCACATTCACCAGCTCTTTGTGTCTGACATTGACATGGAAGTGCCACTGTTCCTTCCATTTCCAGCAGTTTCAAGACAGAACTTGGTCCCTGAATCAGACCCATAGGCCACTGAAATCAAAAGAAGTACTCTGATTATCCCCAATGAGATTTGAATCAGTCTAGCAAAGGAAACTTTCCACAGAAGCTAATGTAGGATTGACTCTCTTATCAAAAAGGAACTCCAAAGCGCATATGTTATTAATCCTTCTTCCTTCTTAATCCCACCCTAAACAGTTGTAGTTTCACTTCACTCTCCCCTTGTAAAGTTCAAACTTCCATAGGTTTTAAAGACACCCTTTATCAAAGAAACACTGGAAGGACCTGTGGAAGTTTACAGATCATTAATTAGAGCAGAGAGGATGAAGTTCTGTTAAATTGCCCATCTGTGAGTGTTAATTTAGCAGCTACTAGTTACT